ACAGGCCACTTCTGGCTTGGGTGCACGTGAGTATGCGAACTCATATCATTTATATCTCTATCAAATGCAGCATGAAAATACGGTGTTTTCATGAGGTCCATGCAGTGAGACATTGCACTGGGTTCCTGTGCATTTGTACCAAATTTCCTATATTTAGTGACCTTGACAAGATCCAACCAGTACAGTTCCATACCCTTTCAATTCCAGTTCCCTTTTAACAAGGCTAAATATACTAAAAACAAGCTTATAATTAAGTGATAATTTAGCACAGACGTGTGAAAAACATGTATAAAGCAGTCAAGCTTGATCGACCCATCAGCAATATTCAAGTGGGTGCAGATATCTCAGTCAAATGGATATATAAACTGTAAAACGTATACAAACACGCAAACGAAGGCCTCCCCTGTTACCCACCCCTCAAGGAATTTTCCTCTTCTGTATCTAGGAGCTTCTTGGTGGGCGCCACCACCTCCTCGATGGTGACCGAGCGATTAGCATAGGTGGACGGGTCGGCCGAGCGCAGCGTGAAACCGGACACCCGCGATGTCGTTGTCTGCGAAACATCATCATCTACAGAGACAGTGGTCCAACACAACAGACACTAATCACTGTATGAACACCATTCACTGCAGAGACACCACACATCTAACATCACGTTTCAACATTAACATCTACTCTACCCAGACGTCATCCTTTATAGAGACATGTCACCTTAATTCTTGGACTATTTTCTTCGGATTTTACCAGACAACATTACAAATAATTATTATTTTAAGATGAATACAAGTAGATTGACTTGAGTAAATGAACGCCAGTTTCAAAAAATGTCGTTAACAGCTCAACACACACATATTTATCTTAAAATAAAAGTACTTTCTACGTTCCAATAATAACCTTGGCATAAACCTTATTCTCTACAAAGACAACGTTTATCAATTAGCCAGATACCAGATATAAAAACACTGATAACATTCCCATCTGCTGCACTGACCAATGACTCTAGGAAATAGTGACATATACTAACAGGAGGTAGTCTCCTGACTATTAGATATTATAATATGGATAATTCATATAAACCACATTCGCTTGGCAAAAAATGCTATCGTGCGGTTATACAAATTTATACATTTTGTTGTCATAGACACATTGACAAGTTAAATTACATGTCACTGCAGAATCTCAGGTAGCAATGGGTACCCATGACACTAACGTCATACCTCACCTGTCACTGCTGCATCTAAGGTTGCTGGGGCACCAAGACTACTAACATCAAATCTCAACTGTTACTCCTACATCTAAGGTTGCTGGGGACGCCCAGGCTACTAACATCAAATCTCACCTGCCACTCCTACATCTAAGGTCGCTGGTGACACCCACGTTGCCAACGACCTCGTCCGTCTGGGACCACGCCCTTCAGGAAACTGTTCGCCATTAGGAAACTGTGCAGCATCCTCACCTGCCAAGTTCTGCAGGGAGCGAGTTGACTGAAAACATACGTGGCTAATGCAAGACATACAGAAAGCAATAGACAATCGGAGTACATCACACAGCTTCCCTACCCATCCTGCAATTTATGTAAGCTTTCTCACCATGGCAAATAATCTGCCAAGGCCATAGGCATAGTCCATAGCCTAAGCAAATTCCTAGGGGTTAAGAAGAATGGATCAAATCTCGTGACACAACCTAGTAATAATGAGGGAATACTTATCAAGGGAAATCTTTTCATAAAAAAATAAACCAGGTGCAGCATAGGGTTACTTTCTTCTGCTGGTAATTATTCTTATTTTATTGTTATTTACATCAGAGCTATGTCACTTATACCAGCCAATCATTATAGGATAAATATACGTAGTTACGTACAAGACACATATCAACATCATATCAAGTAAATAAATATGCTCCACAGTCTAGAGTCAGTTGCCCCCTTTCACTCCAACCAAGAGGTTATGAACTTGTCTACGGCCCATGGTACTAATACAGCCACACAGCTGTTTCCCTAGACCATAGATATGTACAACAATACATAAGCCGCGTTCACACGGAGCGAAGAAACTCGGGTCGAAAACGACCCGTGTCAAATGCGTCCCGGGGCGAGCGTTCACACGGACGTTTTCTCGGTACGAAAACGACTCGGGTCGTTTCGACTCGAGTCCTGGTTCATTTTTGTTGTGTGAACGCGCGACTCGGGTTGGAATTAGTATTGGAATTAGTAGGGTTGGAATTAGTACGTCACAACACCAAAGTAAACAGAATAGTTGGAAGCAAAGGTTGGAAGTCAGTCAGAAGAGTTTGATTGTTTAATTCGCATTGTTCGCTTGGACGCATTGTATTTTTTTTCTCAGCTCACAGCTCGCATAGCGTCGACTGCGTCGTGTGAACGCTCTCTTCAACGACGCTCCGTGTCGTTTTCGACACGGGTCGTTTTCGACCCGAGTTCCTTCGCTCCGTGTGAACGCGGCTTATATCTATGCCTATAGACTGAAGCCCCTTCTGTTGTAAACAAATGTCTGTATGCAGGCAGCAATGTTTTCCCACAAAAATTGAACGGGTGAAGTCTGACTACGTTACCAAGCTTCACAGTGAAAAAAATAGTACTAACAAAGGAAGTTATTTTCGTTTGTTCGTGTGCCCGCCTGAATACGTGGTCAATGAAGAATGTGTCTGGTTTTGGTGGATGTATGCATTCCTGGGTATGATTCAAACGCGATCAGTAGAATAACAGATACAGCAAAGGCGAAACTCTAAGCTGAGGAGACAACACACAAGAATTCCATTTAATACATGTATACTGATCAATGAATGGACATGTATGAAGCTAAGCTATCAATAAACTTCTACAGGCATAGATTCGCTGAGAGGGTCTATGTCCCCCAGGGTACTGCCGGAACGTACCCTGGGTACGGTCCGGTATAGGGTCATTCCGTGTCAGATCACCCAATGGGTTACACCTTACCCTTTCCAAATTGGCTTAAATTTGGTTTGTGAGGTAATTTGGGCTGAAAAAGCTGAAATTTCAAATTTCAGCTCCCTCAGACAAATGGTTTTCGCGCTACGCCACGCCCTTTTTTGGCGATTTTGGCCAAAATGGACGCACCCGTCAATTTTCAAATGGTCACCTATGCAATTAGCTTTCCAAAGACACCAATATTCAACCAATTTGGCCTAGTAGTTACAGAGATACCAATCCAAATCTGTCATTATTTGTTATATAGGAACAGTATAAAGTTTGATGACCTTTTGACCTTGAATTTGACCTTGAATTTGAAGAATCGCTATCGACTTCCTGGGGCCACTGCCGATGTAGGCGGCCGGTAACCAGTACATCCTGGTGGTGGCTGACTACTTCAAGAAGTGGGCCGAAGCCTGACGACGGCCGACTGCCGGGTAAACAACTACTTCCTGCGGTTCGGCGTGCCCCGACGGCTGCACTCCGACCAGGGCCGGAACTTCGAGTCGACCCTGTTCGCCGGGATATGCGACCTCCTGGGGATAGACAAGACCCGGACGGTCCCCTACCATCCGCAGTCCGACGGGCTAGTGGAGCGGTTCAATCGGACCCTGCAGGACATGCTCGCCAAGGTGGTGACCGCCCATCGGGCAGACTGGGACGACCATCTGCCCTACGTGATGGCCGCCTATCGCGGCACCGTGCAGGAGAGTACGGGGGTGAGCCCGAACATGATGGTCTTCGGACGGGAGGTGGGCACCCCGGTGGATCTGATGTGGGCAGGGCCGCCGAACACTGATGTGCCGGCTTGCCCTAATGAATACGTAGAGTGGGTACGACGGGCGGTGGCGACGGCACATGCACAGGCGAGGGACAATCTCGGACGGGCGGCAGAACGACAGCGGCGCTACTACGACCGCCAGGTACGGCCCGTCACCATAGACCAAGGAACCTGGGTCTGGTATTTCTACCCTCCGGCAGACGTCAAGCTGGGCCGGCCGTGGACGGGGCCGTACTGTGTGGTGAAGGTGCGTGATCAGTTGTGCTGGATCCAGCGCACCAAGGAGGAGGTTCCCCGGGTAGTGCACGTGAACGACTTGAAACCCCGTGAGGGGCCAGCGCCGCCGGAGGCGTGGCTACCCCCTCCCGGTGAGGAACCAGCGGCGGTGGTACAAGAAGCCGCAGCGGTGGTACAAGAAGCCGCGGCCACGGAGGAGGAAGAGCCGTCGGAGGCAGGGGACCTGAGCCCCGCGATGCAAATAGACCGGCCGTCGGACGAGGAGTCACCGCCGGGAGCTGCCACCCCATCATCGCCGCCCACCGAGCCGGCGACCGGGGCGGGCGAGACCACGCGGGGAGGAAGACCGGTCAAGCTGCCCCTTCGCTATCGGCAGTGAATAAGTGAGAGCGCCAGCCGGGGCGCGGTAGAAATACCAGGCGGTGTGTCCGCTCAAGGCAGAAACCGCTTGCCGGGGCGGGATACAAACACGAGCTGGGAGCATGGGCACGGGCTGGCGATTGATCACCGCTGGCACGAGCCTGTGATCCCGGCTTAAGGTAGCGAGCGCTAGCCGAAGCGCTTAAGAAATGTCCGGCGGGGAGAGCTAGCTAGCCGGGGAGAAGGAGACATGGCGCGAGGAAAAGATGGAGGGACAGCGGCAGCGGAGCTGGGGACAGGAAGATCCCGCAGCGGCGAGGGACAGAGAGGAGGGCTTGGAGGAAGCCGAGGAGACTCCGCAGCGTCGACAGACGAGGGAAGGACACGGCGACAGCGAGCGGCCAGCACGAACGTGACGAGCTACGGGATAGAGATGGAGAAGGCGAGAAGGACGAGCACCGGCGCAGTGGTCTTGANTGGACCGTCGGCGCGCCGCCGTCTCTGTCGTCGCGACTCTGTCATTGCCGCGGTCGCCTCGACCCCTCCCGCGTGTCTCCATCGCCGCGCCTACTATCCTGTGGTCACGGCAACACTGTGACGAATTCGGTTTCCTCTACGACCCGCGGGTGTGCACGTCCCAACCCAGGCTCGCAGGTAGGCGGCGGCGAAGAGACAATGACTGACGACAGCCGGAGGCGGCGGGCGGCAAAGAAGGAGAGGCGTCGGGAGGAACGCCGGCGCGCCTGCCGCATGGATGAGATGCTGGAGCAGTGGGAGAGAGAGAGGCGGGCCACGGCGACGAGCGGCGACGGCGCGCCGACGCCCGCCCCGACGCCACCCACGGAGGCGATGAGCGGCGGCGACGCCCCGACGTCTGCCCCGACGCCACCCATGACAGTATCGGCGGCGGCCGTCGCCGCGTTGATGGCTGAGATGGCGGCGGCGGCCATCGCACCGGAGAAGGCGACGATGGGGACTGTCCCCACGACAATGACGGTGGCCGACGACAGGCGCGCGACAGCCCCAACGCCACCGACGGTCACGACCGAGGGCGTCGCCAGCGGCGGCGGGAGTGGAGCCTCCGGCGGCATAATAAAGGTCGGTACGTTCTCAGGGGTGGACGAGGAGCCGTGGGATGTCTTCTTCAGCCGGTTCAGTCCCCCTGAGATGGCCGGCGGCGAGTATCCTCCGGGGGAGAGAGGGGACCGCCACCGAGCAGGAGCTCCGGGAACGCCTCGAGGAGCAGTACGGGATCGACGCTGGGGAGACCGCCAATCAAGCGGCCCTGATGAGTCGGCGCAAGGCAGATGGGGAGAGCTGGCGCGAGTACGCTCGTCAGCTCCGACACTTGGGCCGCCTGGCAATGCCCGACTTCGGGGAGGACCGGATCGGGAAGTGGTTAATGCCGCGGCTACGCCAGGAGATGCCGGTGGGACACCGAGCCTACGTTCTGGCCCGCGGGTGTGCCACCTTAGAGGACACCGCAGATCGCGCGGCCGAGTACGACCGGGACGTCCTCTGTGGCGAGCAGCCCCGAAAGCCTACCACGGCCCCGGTCCAGGGGCCGGCGAGGGAGGAGAGAGCCGTGGGATCGCCGGCGGGAGGCGCTGCCCCGACAGCAGCCGCCGACCAGGTGAGCACGGCTGCACAGGAAATGCGGGAGATCACCCAGCTGCTCCGGGAGCTCCTAGCGTCTGGGGGCCTGCGAAGGACAGGGCGCGCAGGGATGCAGGATAGAGGGCCCGGCTGCTATGGATGCAGAGAACAGGGCCATTTCGTCCGGGAGTGCCCCCACGGGCTGTGGCCACCCGGCGCGGGGAGGCAGCGGCCACCCCGGGGAGCAGACCAGGGATGGCCTCCGCGTGGGCCGCCCAACCCGCGGGGCACGGCACGCCTCGAGAGAGAAGCAGGACAGAACTGGCAGGATCGCCGGGGACCCCCGAACGCCCGGTCGGAAAACTAGAGAGGTCGGGGCCACTGCTTGCGCCGGAGGCCTTGGCCCAAGGGAGCCGATGGAGACAGAGGTGACAGCAGCGACGTAGCCCGCCAGCCCGAGCAGGAGTGGCACAGCAGGCCAGATGGAAACTGACCGTGGAGATCGCTGGGCGGCCAGTGGAGTTCCTCGTTGACAGCGGGGCAGAAATCACCCTGCTTGCCGCAGAGACTTACGACAGCCTGCCGCCGGGGAAACTGGGGCTGCGACCCACCACGCAGGGGGTGGTCGACGTCCAACACCGGGACCTATTTGTCGCCGGGGAGTGTTGCCTCGAACTAGGCCTGGGGGGCGAGCGAGCCGGCCACGACGTGCTGGTAGTGGAGATGGGGGAGAAAGGCGGCGTGCTAGGGATGGACTATTTAGGCCGCCGGGACTGCCGACTAGACATGTAGAGAGGACACCTGTACGTGGACGGGGTGACCCATGTTCTGCACGGAGGCGTGCCGATGCAGGACCGCCGGGTGATGGCAGCCGAGACCGTTCGCATACCAGCGGGGCACCGCGCCTTGGTGTATGGCAAAGCCAGGGGAGGACAGTGGAAGGTAGCTCAGCTGGCCATGGCCGAACCCACTGCCCGCTTCCGCGCCACAGGGGTCCGTGAGGGGCTAGTGATGGGGCGCTGCGTGACTGACACTCGAGGAGGCCGAGTCCCCCTCTCCGTTATCAACGTGGGAGCGGAGGATGCCATCATTCTGAAGGGCACCCAGCTAGCCCACCTCGAGGCCATCGCCCGGGTTAGCGAAGTGGACAGGGCCGGCGAGGGGACGAGCGGACTCGAGGCAGCCGGTCTGCCGGACCACCTGAGAGCCCTGGTGGAGGACACGGACGCGGACCTGAGGGGTGATCAACGGCGCAAGGTGGAGGAGGTCCTCTGGCGCTACCGCGACCTGTTCGCCGAGCCGGGGGGGCCCCTGGGCCAGACCGGGTTAGTCCAGCACACCATAGACACCGGCGGACATCGGCCGTGTAAGCAAGCGGCGAGGAGGTGCCCGCTGGGACGGCAGGAGGCCCTCGACGCAGAGCTGCAGCGTATGTTGGACGCGGGGGTAGTAGAACCCAGTGCCAGCCCCTGGGCGTCGCCGGTGGTGTTGGTAGGGAAGAAGGACGGATCGGTCCGGTTCTGCGTCGACTACCGGCGGGTGAACGACCTCACCCGGAAAGACGCTTACCCGCTGCCGTGCATAGACGACACGTTCGACTCGCTGGCCGGCGCGAAGTGGTTCTCCACGCTCGACCTGGCCAGCGGATACTGGCAAGTCGAGATGGACCCCCGGGATGCGCCCAAGACGGCCTTCGCAGTGAAGGGAGGCCTGTATCAATTCCGGGTCATGCCCTTCGGCCTCTGTAACGCCCCGGCAACTTTCGAGCGGCTGATGGAACTCGTGCTTCGAGGCCTACAGTGGACAGAGTGCCTGGTGTATCTCGACGATGTGGTCGTCTTCGGGACGACCTTCGAAGGAGCCGTCGACAATCTGCAGCACGTGTTCCAGAAGCTGCGCGGGGCTGGCTTGAAACTCAAGGCGGCTAAGTGTCGACTTCTGCGGCGAAGCGTCGAGTTCCTCGGGCACGTCGTGTCGCGGGAAGGGATCCGCTGTGACCCCCGAAAGGTGGAGGCGGTGAGAGAGTGGGAACGACCGACGGACGTGTCTGGCGTGCGCAGTTTCTTGGGGTTCGCTAACTATTACCGCCGTTTCGTGAAGGGGTTTGCCACGGTGGCCGGGCCCCTCACCGAACTCACCCGGAAAGGGCGGGCCTTCCGGTGGTCGGACGAATGTGAGACCGCCTTCCGGGAACTAATCCGGCAGCTGACCGAAGCCCCGATCCTGGCCTACCCGTGGGCCGAAGGCCGCTTCACCGTGGACACTGATGCCAGCGGGACCGGCCTCGGCGCGGTACTCTCCCAGGAGCAGGACGGCGAGGAGCGCGTCATCGCCTATGCCAGCCGGGCCTTGGGGGACACGCAGAAAAGGTACTGTGCCACGAACCGGGAGTTGTTGGCGGTGGTCACCGCCGTCAAGCATTTTCGGCACTACCTACAGGGTCGGCCTTTCCGCGTGCGCACCGACCACGCGTCGCTCACCTGGCTGTTGAACTTTAAGGAGCCAGAGGGGATGGTGGCGCGTTGGATCGCCTTCCTCGGTACGTTCGACATGACCATCGAGCACCGGGCCGGCCGGCTGCACGGAAACGCGGACGGGCTGTCCCGCCAGGGGCTCCATAGGCGCTGCAAGCGACCTGATTGCCCTGACTGCCCTGCACCGGAGGTGGGAAAAGTCCGATGCAGCCGCGGCGGCCCTGTGAACGTCGCGCCGTGGGATGCTGAGCGGATCCGGGAGTGGCAGCTGGCGGACCCTACCCTGGGTCGGCTCCTGGAGTGGAGGCAGGCAGGACCGGATCGACCGACCTATGAGGAGGCTGCGGGACTGTCTTGGGAGGCTAGGTCGCTGTGGCACAGCTGGGAGCAACTGGAGGTGCACCGAGGTCTGCTCTACTATCGGTGGATGGAGGGACCACGAGGCCAGCGGCAGCATTTGCAGCTGATCGCGCCCCCGGAGATGCGGACGGAGCTGCTCCGGCAGCAACATGGGGGCCGCACCGCGGGTCACATGGGAGAGCGGCGGACCCTCGAGCGTGTCCGGCAGAGGTTCATGTGGCCGGGGATGCGCGCCGACGTCCGACGATGGTGCCGGCAGTGCGACCCCTGCGCAAGGAGGAAAGGGCCGAGGAAGAGGCAGGCCAAGCTGAAGCAGCAACCGGTGGGGGAGCCCCAAGAAAGAATCGCTATCGACTTCCTGGGGCCCCTGCCGATGTCGGCGGCCGGTAACCAGTACATCCTGGTGGTGGCGGACTACTTCACGAAGTGGGCCGATAGCCTACGCCCTCCCCGACCAGAAGGCCCTGACGACGGCCGACTGCCTGGTAAACAACTACTTCCTGCGGTTCGGCGTGCCCCGACGGCTGCACTCCGACCAGGGCCGGAACTTCGAGTCGACCCTGTTCGCCGGGATATGCGACCTCCTGGGGATAGACAAGACCCGGACGGTCCCCTACCATCCGCAGTCCGACGGGCTAGTGGAGCGGTTCAATCGGACCCTGCAGGACTGCTCGCCAAGGTGGTGACCGCCATCGGGCAGACTGGGACGACCATTCGCCTACGTGATGGCCGCCTATCGCGGCACCGTGCAGGAGAGTACGGGGGTGAGCCCGAACATGATGGTCTTCGGACGGGAGGTGGGCACCCCGGTGGATCTGATGTGGGCCGGGCCGCCGAACACTGATGTGCCGGCTTGCCCTAATGAATACGTGGAGTGGGTACGACGGGCGGTGGCGACGGCACATGCACAGGCGAGGGACAATCTCGGACGGGCGGCAGAACGACAGCGGCGCTACTACGACCGCCAGGTACGGCCCGTCACCATAGACCAAGGACCTGGTCTGGTATTTCTACCCTCCGGCAGACGTCAAGCTGGGCCGGCCGTGGACGGGGCCGTACTGTGTGGTGAAGGTGCGGGATCAGTTGTGCTGGATCCAGCGCACCAAGGAGGAGGTTCCCCGGGTAGTGCACGTGAACGACTTGAAACCCCGTGAGGGGCCAGCGCCGCCGGAGGCGTGGCTACCCCCTCCCGGTGAGGAACCAGCGGCGGTGGTACAAGAAGCCGCGGCCACGGAGGAGGAAGAGCCGTCGGAGGCAGGGGACCTGAGCCCCGCGATGCAAATAGACCGGCCGTCGGACGAGGAGTCACCGCCGGGAGCTGCCACCCCATCATCTCCGCCCACCGAGCCGGCGACCGGGGGGCGAGACCACGCGGGAGGAAGACCGGTCAAGCTGCCCTTCGCTATCGCAGTGAATAAGTGAGAGCGCCAGCCGGGGCGCGGTAGAAATACCAGGCGTGTGTCCGCTCAAGGCAGAACCGCTTGCCAGGGCGGATACAAACGAGCGCCAGCCGGGCGCGTAGAAATACCAGCGGTGTGTCCGCTCAAGGCAGAAACCGCTTGCAGGGGGATACAAACGAGCGCCAGCCGGGGCGCGGTAGAAATACCAGGCGGTGTGTCCGCTCAAGGCAGAAACCGCTTGCAGGCGGGATACAAGCGAGCGCAGCCGGCGGTAGAATACCAGCGGTTGCTCAGCAGAACCGTTGCCGGGGCGGGATACAAACACGAGCTGGGAGCATGGGCACGGGCTGGCGATGATCACCGCTGCACGAGCCTGTGATCCCGGCTTAAGGTAGCGAGCGCTAGCCGAAGCGCTTAAGAAATGTCCGGCGGGGAGAGCTAGCTAGCCGGGAAGGAGACATGGCGCGAGGAAAAGATGGAGGGACAGCAGCAGCGGAGCTGGGGACAGGAAGATCCCGCAGCGGCGAGGGACAGAGAGGAGGGCTGGGAGGAAGCCGAGGAGACTCCGCAGCGTCGACAGGCGAGGGAAGGACACGGCGACAGCGAGCGGCCAGCACGAACGTGACGAGCTACGGGATAGAGATGGAGAAGGCGAGAAGGACGAGCACCGGCGCAGTGGTCTTGAAGGGGCCGCGGTGAGTAGGGTCACGTCCACCCACTGCTAGGCCAACACCGGGCCTATGATACGCAGCCTAGAGGGTTATAAGCGGCGCGTCGATGTCCGCCGGGTGGTTACCGGTTTGCCTTCAACACCTTTTCTTCCCGGGGGAACGGAAGCCGTTACGGCTGGGGAAACGCCGTAGTCGCCCACCACTTCGTCGTCGACCCATGCGTCAGAGTTAGAGTG